TTTATGCTCGGATGAGGAAGTTGGCACCCAAGTTGCTTCAAGTCCCAGAATATCGAGGTAATGATCAAATTTTAGAGTGACCAAATCTATATCAAATTTTTAGTATGTCGACTTGATTTTATTACATCTAATTTGACTAGCTTTCTAAATGTAAGAATAATATCAATGTGGACCCAGTTAGGGGAATATAATGGTTGATATAAGGGATAACCAAACACACACCCCTTGGGGGTCGGACATTATTTAATTCACGTGGGACCCATGCACTTTGTGAGAGTTGATCATCTCGGGTGTCAAACTTTTTCGGGCAAAGTGGCATTTTCCTATCAATGTACACATGATATAAAGTCCCTGCCCGGTTTAGATAAAAATTAGAATTATAGTAGATTTTAATAAAGTGGATAGCATTTGTGATTGAGAAAAGCAATGGATCATATAAAATGTATAATTATAATTAATCGTTGACTTTGACTTGATTTTTAATTAGATTTTTGTAGCTGAAACAAACAAGGGTTAAATATAGTCTAGACACAGATAGTCAATTTCTAAGTGTTTATGTTTATCAACAAATGTAGACGGAATGACTTGACTGAAACAAAGTTATAAATTCAATTATTGTAATAAAATAAATTTCAATAACTCGCTTGAATTGGGAATTGGGAATTTTGACAAATAATTAGTTGTAGTATCATTTGATAATTACTCAGAATCTCATGTCATGTCAATGGCTAGAAAAGTAACAATTGTGGGGCTTCTATATGAATTAATTAATTTATAATTATTGTGTTCATTTCGTTGTAGACTACTTGGAGGAGAAAAGAGAAGAAGGTTATTCCTCAAGAATTTCCTCAAATTCATTTCTTGACATCATAAAAGAATCAATTAGGACATTCATGAATTTCCTCAAAGCAGATAGGGAAAGTCATTGCCAAATATTTGCAGCTTTGTTCAAAAGAAATTCAAGAGGTTCAGTGGATGCAACTCTTCTTCTCCTACAAAAGAAAGTAAACAAAAAGGTAATTACATACAAATCTTCCGCCACCCCATCTTTTTAATATGATATTGACACGGCTGGTAAATTAAATTAGACAATATTAGACGAGTTGAAATCTATTATCCACAAAATAAATTTTGATACATCGACACATTAGCTCTTTTTAACAAATTGAAAGACGTTATTTCAAATGTGATGTTACTTGTAATGTTTGACACTTTCTTATTTGCTAGTAAGAGCTGATTTAATATACATACATGTATATGTATTTGCCTATGTTTATTGGTACTCGAACTTTATGCAGAAAAAGGTGAAGCTAAACGAGCTGCGCCGATCGGGTTCGTGTTTAAGAAAGAGAAGATTAAGAGTGGAGGAGGAAATGGAGATTTTAATGGCTTTAATAGACCTAAAAGTGGTGTCTAGGGTTTTAAGAATGAAAGATTTGAATGATGAACAGTTGCATTGGTGTAACAACAAGATGAGCAAAGTGAAAGTCTCTGATGGGAAACTACAAAGAGATTCTTCCCCACTTTTTTTCCCTGCACACTGACCAACCCACCAAAGAATGTTCAATTGATGACTAGATGGTGATTGTGCATGGAATGAATATCCATTATCCAGTCTCCCTTTTTGTAAATAATTTCCGAGGTAATGGATCATATTCGAACGGGACAGAATAAAAAATATTCTTTAATATTGTTCAGTACTGTTCAGTCAATGCTACGAAGGTGCAGCGTGTGTTGCACATATTAGATTTTGAAGATTTGGATGGGAGCTAAAGTTGGGTGGTCATAAAGCAAAGAACATTGGGATAGAGACATGGTTAGCTTTAGCTACTTTTTCACTTTTTTTTTTTTTTTTTTTTTTTTTGAAATTATGGTTTATCTGTTAAGGAATAAAAGTTGGCACATGATACACTCAAGAATAGAATAATATCTATATGTATTTATCATTGTAATAACATACACTTCAGCTTATTTCTTGGAAGGGAAAAGATTAAAGAAACAGCAGTAAAAAGTATTATTAATGTTTTGTTGTTCATGCCACTGGGCCATGGATGTCCACTAATGACTTTTAAATAATATATTCAATATTGATCGAGTCTCCATCCAGACAGTCATAGTAATATTATGTGCTAACTTGAGTGAATTAAAAAAATTTACAACAAAGTGATTTAACAGAACATGTCACTTAAGAGTGATCTAGCGCCCATTTGGCCCTCCATTATTTTACATTATAATGAGAGGAATAGTAATTTTTCAAAAAATGTATGATTAAAAAGAAAGAAAACGTTTCTAGCTTTACATTTAATATTATTTTATTGAAAAATATTTAGTTGATAAGAAGAGAAAAATGAATAATAATTTAATGGAGAATAATGGAGGCCAAACAAGGGATCAATTATTATGAGTCAAAATTTATGGTGATTATACTTATCTTTACAAATCTATCTTCCCTTCCGATGTCAAACTCACCCGCCCAAGCATGAATCCTAAACTTTGCTCCTATGGGGTGGATCACATCTAATGTAGGTGTACGAGCATTTGTTACTTAGTTTTTACCTTGTTTCTTCACTTGATTAACGATTTACATAGCGAACAATTTTGTTGTTATAACTTAATTACAACTTATGGTTCAAGAACCAACGATTTTATGATTTGACAATATTTTTAAGCGATCGTTAGTTCAATATCTTACAAGTCTGTTTGGTATTGATTAAAATCAAGAATATAAGTCAAAGTCAACAATTAATTTTAACTACATATTTTATGAAATTCACAACTTTTCAAACCACATTTTATCAACTTTATCAAAAATTAAAAATAATTTTTAATCCCGTCAAATAGGGCCGAATAACAAAGTTCAATTTTACAAAAATACAATCATTTGGAGAATGCATACATACTAGAAATTAAAACAATTCTTAAGAATATACACATTGATTTTTTTATTTACTTTTTTGAGGAACACGTCCAGAGAGATACCCACTTAGTTATGACTTATGAGTGTGCTATTACGAGGACGTGAAAGTGATTGTAACTAAAGTTCAAATAAAGCAATTTTTTTTTTCTTTTATCAAGGGCTGATTAGCACTAATTTAATTTAAGTGGTGGTGGTGGTGGGTCTTTATAGCATTGTTTATTAAGAAAGAATTGCGTCTTAATTTCATTAGACAATATAATAGTATTTTTATTATTGCATAAATTTTTGTTAATTACTTGGAGTCGTTGATTGCATTATTCCTTGAGTTCCTATGAGTAGTGGAAATGTTAACTTAAGCCCTTGTTTGAAATTGATGACTCTCTCTCTCTCTCTCTCTCTCTCTCTCTCTCTCTCATTCATTTTTATCCATAACTTTTAAGAACTTTGTAATCACTAACGGGGCCTTAGGGTGCAAAGATAGAATTTGGTGGAAAAAAAACGAAATCCAGAAAATTGAATTGCTTAAAAATTATTTTCCTGAAAATTGTAAATTATTATGTTTAATTGGTATAATTTTTCACATGAAAAATGTTGAAATAAAAATATTTTTTGGTGTTCGTTTGACTTTATTTTACATGAAAATTGTCAATTAAAGTGATAGATTTTACTAGTATTGGGGATAAAATTTGTTTCCATTGCCAAATAAATAAATACAAATTCAAGAAAGTGTTCGTTTGACTTTGTTTTACATAAGAATGGCCAATTAAAAGGAAATATTTTTTTACAATAATTTTTAGAATTTCTTTCCATTGCCAACAAAAAAAAAAAAACAAATGGCAGATCATCCTAGAAAATCAATTGTGGGAATTGGTTTTCCAGGAAAACCAAGAAAATATACCAAACCAAGAAAACCAAGAAAGAGAATTCCATGAAAAAATTTGCTATCAAACATGACAAAAAGTGGAAGTTGGAAAATGAATTCCTTTTTCCATGGAATTGGGTGCCTATCAAACAAGCCCTAATAATACTTTCACACAAGCACTAAAAAGGTATAATCTACGGGCAAATTCTCCTATATGCTTAGGTTCTTGGGTGATTTTAATTCTACCTTTCATTTAATCACACTTAACCCTTATTTGAACCCCATTTTGGGAGGAAAAAAAATGTATTTTTGAATAATGATTTTTTGGAGAATATGTGGTTAAAAAGTAAGAAAAAAGTTTCAGTTCACATGTAAAATTATTTTATTAAAATATATGTGGTTAAAATAAGTTTTAAAAAAATAAATTTTCGAAAAAATGGGGTTCAAATAAGGGCTTAGTATCATTGAAACTATTATTGTAATACCAGTACTATTACATGACATTATTTATTCTTTTGAATATCAATTGATCTGATGGCAAAACAGGCTAGCATGGCAATGGAATATGCAACCAAAACCTTAATTTGAGACTCTTAATGTTTCATAATTAACAACAAAAAGCTCTATTTTTTTATCCCATTTCTCTCATACATCTCATCTGTATTGACACCTATTCCATGAATGGAGACAGAGTGGTGACACTCATTTAACCCAGGCCACGAAGAACAAAATCCTACTTCCTACTGCGATTCGCAAGTAGATTTGTGTAATGTTCTCTCAATATTAATTTCATTTAAGAAGGTTTCATTAACAATAGAAAGCATCTTTGAGTTCGAAGACTTCGAGAAGCGAGTAAGAACAATAACATGCGATCATGTTACATTAGTAGTGCACCACATCTGCCTCTGTCACATGGGCCTGTCCCAGCCCCCGTTTGAGTAGCATAATACAACTTACATAATTTGAATTTAATTAAAATTGTACGACTCATCACATTTGTCAATGTCGACATGCATTCTGGCATATTTTATGGATTTTAATTATCTAATTGTTATAACAAATATATTCATGAATTATCTTTTAACTACATCATTCAATATAATTTGGAATTAAGAAAGCCAATTATAATAAAAAGAAAATGAGCAGTTATATTCAAACAGATTTTATTTTTTTTTATTTTTTAATTGCGGCACATTTTAACTACATTTTAATTGCAATGAAGGTTCCCAATTATAACTCAAATTTGAACTTATATTCCTCATTTTTTGGTGCATTCTTAACTTTTAATTAATCGGCACATTTTGCCTCTAAAGAAGTTGACCAAATATTATATAAGCAGTAGAAAAATATTTTGTTGAACTTTTGTATTTTTTATCTTACTTATTTAAAGATATGATGAGCAAACGATTTTTCTTTTCTTTTTTTTCTCCCTCCTGATGGATTCTTTGGCCATGATCAAAGATAAAATATGCTAATTAACAGAAAGTTGAGAATGAAAATATGACCCCAAAAAAAAAAAAAAAATTTGAGAATATTAGTGAAAAAATAAGGAAACCTTCATTGCGATTAAGAAAAATATTAATTGTACATCATCACTTATATAATCTTTTACAGATTGATAAGGTGTCAAAAAATGGAAAAGACCTTTTTTTTGGTTGATGAAATTTTTTATTAAATCAAATTTTACTACATTATCTGTTGATAAATAAATATGTAAATTGTGATGTATATATAACATAATTGTTACAATTAAAATGTGGTATGATTAACAAAATCATGGTATGTCACCAAAGTATTTTTATTTCTAATCTCTCGCTTTCACTCAGCATAATTTTGAATTCGAAATATAAAAAATCATAGTCTCTTAAAAAAGAGCATCCAATGAAGCAAGCACATAACTTGCAGAGGTGACAACGGAGAATGGGGCCTTTCCCATCTCTATTTCACAGATAATTTTTGTGAGACAGGGGAGAGACGGAGCGAGGCAAGGATCAAAACATCCGAATTTAACGCCCTATTTACATATTTATGTATTAAGTTATTATTTTTTATTAATATTAAAGTAAAATGAATGGAAACTAATATTTAGGGAGGGAATCTTGTTCCCATTCCCATCCTGAGGCAAAACAGGGCAAGGACAAGTTATTTTGCCATATCTAAGAAATGGAGTTCCAAAAAAGAAATATCATCACCAAATAAATTTTAGAGGAAATTACAGGAAACAAGATATTTAGAGATTCAATTTCATAAATCATAGGTGAAGTTTACTATTTCAAATATCAGATATTTTGTAAATTAATTAATTAATATAAAAAAATTAATTAATTTATCTAGTTTCAAACCCTAAATTACTTCTACCTCACTTCTCTCTATCTATATTCTCACCTCTCACCCCCATCTCTCTACTGCCTCTCACCCCATCTCTTCACCGCCAATCAATCGTTGGAATGAGACCACTCAAAATCGTCGGAGTGAAGCGGTGTCCCGTCGCCAACCCGTCACCCCTCTCTAATCCCACCATTGTTTGTTGGACCACCATACCACGGCGTCACCAACGTTCGAAGACGCAGAGAAGCACGCCACGCAGCCTCCTCTCTCAACCTTCTTTCCACTGACGGCTACTCCCTCTCCCTCTCCCTCCCCCTTCTCTCGATTTTCATTCTCAACTGACGGTAATCTTTCCCCCTCTCCCGATTTTCACATCGATGAAGTGGCACTGAATGCATCAGCAGCATTGCGCTACTATCAAATATCAGTCGATTTTCATCTTCCTAGGTGCACTAGAAATTAGGTCTAGATTTAACTTGGAAATTAGGTCTTGGAAGGGTCCATATTTAGCTTGGTGCTTTCATCTTCTCAAGCACTTTAGAAAATAGGTTTGGTTGTTGTTTTTGGTGGAGTTGATGGAGTGATAGTAGTGTCGTTGTGGTAGTGACTGGTTGGTGGTGGCGACAATGCCATGGTAGAGTGTCGTGGCACGTAACAATGGTGTCGTGGTTGTGGTGACTGGTTGGTGTTGGCGGTGGCGGCGATGCTGTGGTGGTGTGCTTTTATTTGATTAACTTGGGTAGTGTTGTGGCAATGATGTTGGTGTTGTGGTTGCGGCAGGGATGATGGTTGCGGCGCTAGTAATAGTGATATTGGTGATGGTCACTATCTAGGTGGTGCAGGTGGGGTGGATGACGAGAGATC